AAAAAACCCAAACAACAAAAACCTCCATGGAAGCGGGATAGACATATTTTCATTTCTTTATTAGAAAGAGGTCTCTACGCTATAGCCACCTCTCTCCATTACTTTACACATTTTTCTTTTTCTTTTTTTCCCCTTAGAATACTGTACAGTTGACACAAAAAATCCCAAGGCAGGAAAATACAAACTGGCATATTTAATCAAAACAAGATCATGTGAAATAACAAGCAAAGTGAAATGTCTGTCAATGGTTTTAATTACAGTCCAAACAATATAAATAAAGCATCATGAAGTCATTGTGAAACATAAACTTGCTGAATGAGGTAATATAAAAACAACCGGAAAAAAAAAAAGACCCATCTCTGGATAAAGCCCAGGCTGCTCTTCCATCTTCTACACATCGCTATTTACAGAAACAGAGAAATGTGCTAAGAGGTGGGCCGAGGCCCGGCCTTCCCTGTTCCCTCCTAAAAATGCCTCTCGGTGTCACCTTTGACCTGGTTAGACTCCCCTTTCAGAGACACAGCCAGCAGCATGGTGAGAACCCAGGTCCGAGCCAGGGGCAGGGGAGTGGGGGGCCGGCTGGGGCCGGAAGCCACTCCCGGAGCCCACGCGACTGTGCCTGTGGCTGGCGTGGCCAGCCCTCCCCGCCTCCCCTGGGCGGCCGGCGGGGCGCAGCCGGGCACCCCTGCGCAAGTGCACACGGCGTCCCCAGCACACTCGGGCTCAGGCTGGGGCAGGGGCAGTAGCCTTCAGAGCTGGATTTATCTTAGACGGAGAAACCCAGTTGGAGGAGGGAAACTGCGATGCTTTTCAAGGTTTGAAGGCATCGTCTCTCACACCAGTTTGTGTGACTGCTAGAAAGCAGTTTCTAGGGGTACCCGCCGCCTGTCCACCACGGAACAGCCCCGCTCCTCACTCAAGTCCACCAGTGCACCCTGAAACAGTCCCGGTGAGGGAACCACTGGGCCCCAGGGTGGGACTGGGGGGCCAGGAGGTGCGTGGCATGTTCACAGAGCAATGAGTACAAGCTAACTCCCTGGCTGGCCCCAGCTCCCTGCACCCCGGGTCCATCCTCCACGCTCCCACCCCTGAGACCCCGGGCGGGGTGCACATTCTCCCTGGGGACTCAGTGCGCCGTCAGGTGAGGAGCTGAGAGCAGTGGCCCTCCTGTCACTCGGGGTTTCTAAGTACAGGCGTTACACCAGGGTTGGGGAGACCCTGAGTGTCCTCATCAAGCCTCCAACATGCCTGTAATTAAACTTCCACAAGCAGCTGCCAAGGGTGGGCTTCTGGGGGCTGGGCAGAGTCTCCTTTTTGCAAGAGTATTTTGAACCAGCTCAGATGCTAGCTCCCAGGCCGGTGTGGCACCAGGGAGACAGGAGCATCGTCCAATTTAGGGGCGACCATTCCTGACAACTGGTGTGTGAAAGGGGTTTGAAAGATTCTCGCATCTTGTCTGCGCCTTCCTTTCATCTGCATCTCAAGACAAGGTCACAGATTGCTCACCAACCCTGAATTCTGGGTTGGTCCTAACGCACTCGGACAGGTGGGGCTCTACTGTATGCCTTGACCGTGACCCTCGGTGGTGGTGGGGGTCCTTCCTTACAGATGCCACATCACCCAGGCCCAATGCGAGACGAGTCCCGAGCTGACAGGCACCTTGCCTTGGGCACGGCCAGCACCCGCTGCGTGGTGGGTGTCCTGTGGCTTGAAGCCAGAGCTCCTGTGCCTTTAACCACAGCAGCCTCTGGCCAGTACCCAGGCAGCCTTCAGAGCGCCCGCGGGTCTCTGCTCGCACATCTGCCTTGGACCTGCCAGCTTCCTGGCACTGAAGGCCCTTCGGATGGGATGAGGGCCTCAGACAAGGACATTTTTATCAGAAAGGTGCAAACCCCCAAATCAAATGCTGTCGACGGACAGCAATGGCAGCCCCTTGTAAGTGAGGTGCAGTAAGGAGAGGTTTTCAAGTTCATGGTCACTGAACCCTTGCTTCGAGGAGGCTGCTTACTCCACTGGTGACACAGAAATACCTCTAAAATCTGGGCTTAAAAAAACCCCACAGATTAAAAACGGACTTTTTGGTTTTACAGAATCCACTGCTGATGCAATGTCCTCCAAGTTCAACTCGGACCCAGACTGAAAGAGCCAAACTAGAAAAAAATGTCAATCTATGTTTAAAAGCAGCAGACAGCCAACATTTAATAGGGAATTTATTCATATTAAAAAAAATCTATTTCAGGACAGCATTTCTTCTCTAAGGGGAAGAAAATTTGGGGTTTTAGAATCGTAATGTCAGGTTGCTGAACATCCCACACGGGGGGCCGACCCTGAGTGGAGTGTTTCTCTCTCTCGGGTGTCACTGCGTCTTGGGTTCCAGGGACTACTTCCTGGCAGTGATGGAAATGGAAAGTGTGAGCCCCGTCTCCGTCCACCCCAAGCGGCTAGCCCGCTCCCCTTCTCTGTTCTGCACACCCGGGAGGAATCTGACGTCTGGATTAAAACGCCACCTGATTTAGAAACTTGAAGGACAGAGGGCCCGTTGGCAGAGGGGACAGAGCGGAGCTGGGGCAGACCCGGTCCTGGGCGGGCCGGGGGTGGAGCCGGACTCCCTGCGCCCTGCAGCTGGGGCAGCGGGGCACCCACACCAAAGACCCACTGACCGCGGGGCTTCCTGAAGAAAGCCGCTTGGAAATCCAGCAAAGAAAGACGTCGCTAATGGCTGAAGGAGAGAAATGCAAGTCAGGATGCCGAAGGCCCTTGTTGAGCTTTTTTGGTGAAGGATGAGGGTGGAAATCACTTCAAGACACGACTTCACAACATGGAAAACCCCTGTTCGGGGAGGCAGGCCGTTAGAAATAAATTATATTTCCCGGGAAAGAGACATGTGGAGGTTCAACGCACTTCTATTCGAATTCCTTCCTGACGGCTTTTCAATTTGTTTGCTCTCAGGACATAAATACAGTCCAGGCGAGCTCCAGAGAAGTCGTGCCGACCTTGTGGGCGGCTGACGGGGGACACAGAGCAGGTGCGGGGGAGGGGCCGCAGCCCGTCCAGAGGTGACAGGTCTGCTTTCCCATCATCTGTGTCCTTTGAGCGGCTTTTGAGAGCGGACCATACTGGCTCAGAGGACCCACATTATCGCGAGGCTTCTGAGCCTGTCAGGCGGGAATGTGGATTTCCCCCTCTTGTTTCCAGAACATTCTCAACATAAGGAGAAAGGGTTGGCGGGCTTGGAGCCACAGGGAGCCACGTCACCTGTGAGCACGGCGCAAGATGGGGGTTGGACAGGACCCAATGGCCACTCTCCAGGGGGAAGACAGGACTGCCAAGCTCAGGCTCAGGACACAGCGAACAGCACCCTTGGAAGGGAAGACGGTTCCATCAAGGTGGATGCTCCCTGACCAACTGCACAAGCGCAATGAGGGACAGAGAGAGAGAGAGGGGCAGTGAGGCCTAAAGCCACTCTAACTTTAAGGGACACGAGCGTGGCCAGCAGCCTCTCGGTGGCGTCTGGAGGAGGGAGGCTGGTGGTACCGACAACACACAGAGGGCGGGGGAGAGAGAAAGGTGGTTTCGGCCTGAAGCAGCAGGAGAACAGGAGTGAATGGTGTGAGGGCGAGACTCACCCTTGCTTCTTGAGAAAACCACTCAGACCCCGAGGATGGAGAGCACATTTCAGTAAGTGGGCTGACGTGGGGGTGGGCGCAGGGCGGGCTCTTCCTTCAGGGAAGAGGGGCCTCCGGGAGCAGGGGTCCTCAGAGGGCCTCACTCCCTCCTCTGACACACAGGCTTGGCAGAGGCAGAGGAGGGCTGGTGGCTGGAATGGGACGGGCACTGACTCCCCAGGGCACTGGCTCGCAGCCGCAGGGCCAGCTCGGGGGCAGGTTTCCTGGCTTGTGCTCTGTCCTACCCACGTTCTGACACTCCTGTCTCCTGAGCATCCACCCCCCTGCTGGGCTGACATGTATCAAACTGGTCTGGATGTCACCGGCCTGCAAGGCCACTGTGGTTTCATGGTGGAGGAGAGAGGCTCCAGGATGCCGGAAGCTGCCCAAGGCTGCCCAGGTGGGGTGGCCAAGCCAGGGGGATAGTCTGCTCAGCCCCAGGACTGTCTTTTTTGTTGGACTGTTCTTCCCTAATGAAGGGGTGACAGCCCCTTTGGAAACGAGGGGAATGACCCCGAGGGTGTGCAGGCATCACAGGACTGGGAGGATGGGTGCCTAGGCTGGACGGCCGAGGCCAGGCCAAGGTGGAAACCTCTGAGTGGGCAGCAGAAGCGCCTGGCCCTGCTCTGGGGCTAAGAGCGCCCCAGCCAGGGCTCCCCGCCCTGCAGAAAAGCTGCTGGTTTAAGGATTCCAGCCGGAAGTCCTTCAGGAAGAGCAGCTCTCTCCTGTCATTAGCAAGTAGCCACCGCCCTCACCTGCTTCCTGGGACGAATCCATGTAGCATGGGCTTACTGGGAGCTGAAAACTTGCTCATGGGACCAGAGACTCATGACCACGACTTCACTCACCCTCGAAGGGTCATCTCCTGGGAAGACAGGAGACGGAAGGGACCCTGCCTTGGTAAACCATCTATCTGTCCCCGCCCACCCCCACCACCGGTCTTCAAGGTCCACTCATACAGGGTCAGAATCCCAAGGGTCCTTTCTCTGCAGGGTTCTTTTGGCCCCTGAAGAAACCCAGAGAGGTCTGCAATACGTCCAGGTCACCCACGCATGTCCCCTCACAAGTGGCCGCCTGATCATGTGCTTTCCCTAGCCAGTGGGTTTTTCAACAAGGAAAATTAAAAACTGACTCAAAAAGGTTACGTGGATTCTGTAGCAGTGGCTTCCCGTGTCATGGTCATGTCACATGAACAACGAAAACACGGCCGGCTTCCCAAACTACGTCGGACATTGGCCCTGGGTCCTTGCTTCTCCGGCCTCGGTGTTAGTGAGGCTTTACGACGGAAATGAGAGCTCTGTCAGCAAAGGAAGGACTTCTAGTTTGACCGAAATACAAACAGATGAGCCACCAGCCACCTTTATTTGAAAAGAAAACCCTTGAAGCCCACTACTGCCTTTCCTCTGTTGCCAAACTCGGGCTCACAAAAGCAGGCTACCTCCCGGAGCGGATGGATGGTGCTAAAAATAGCAGGAGAGGGGTCGGGTTTTCTAAGGAGGAATCAGTGAGGTCCCAGCGCTGGAGGGAGGGAAGGAAGGAAACCAGTCTAGCAGTCAGATCCTGAAAGGCTAAGTGAAAAAAGAAGTCATTTGGGAAAATATATTATAAACACATATAATAATAGTATGTACACACTCATATACATCCCCAAAAGAAGCCTTACAAGGAATTCCGTTTCTTTTCGAAAGAAGGCTTCACTGTGATAAAGCATTCCTATAGTGGGAATTAACTACAATGAAATAATTTAAGGACTTCGTTTATACCGTAATCTGCGTTCACTACAGAAAGTCTATGCTAAAGGCGGTGGGGAGGCCAGTGTGTGTGGCTGGATTAGAAGAGTAATGCGTTCTTCAAAACTAGGAAGGAATTTCTCTCCCCCTCCCCCATGCACATTTAAAATAACCACACAGTGATGAAATACAGGATGAAAACTCAGGTGGGGGGATCAGGGACCTGTGGTCAAGGCTCCCAGACTCGTGGCTTCTGCACCTGTCACCCTGGAAATGGCCACCGAGTTCCACCGAGCTGTGTTAAGGTTCAAAATGCCCATGAAACACTGACCCACATATAAATTGTGTAAAGCTTTATTTTTGTCCCCACCTACTTTAAATTTTTTTTTAAGAAAGTGAAAGAAGAAGAAAAACTCGTATAAAATAAAAGGTTCAATATGAGAGCAAGGGCATCCTTGGAGGCGGTGGAGGAGCGTGGTCCTGGGCTCCTGGCCTTATCAGCCCCGTGTCCTCCTTCAAGGTGACACCCCTCTCCCCACCTACCGCCCGTCACTCTGCCCCAAGGGCTCAAGGCACAGCTGCCCTTTTTCTTTTTAACAGAAGGTGCCATAAACTGGTTCCCTATGTTTGGCCACCACGATGAAGGTGGTGGAACTCTGAAGCAGCCAGAAACCATGATGACAGCAAAATCAGGTAACCCATTACAAGGAAGGACCTTTTCACCACTGAGCAAAAAAACACCTTAGGGAGCCTTGTGAGCCAGTCTGTGGCCCCAGATCGGTGGCGGTGGTCAGGCTGGACCCTTGCAAAGCACCCCGGGGTCTGGGAAGTCCTCCCCTGCCTCAGCATCACCCCTGCCTCTGGATCAGCAAAAGGAGTCATCGTCATTCAGTAATGACAAATCACATGCCTCTTTTCCCCTCTAAAATGCTTCAGTGTCTTTTTTTTCTTTCCTGATTTTAATAGGCGAATTGTACCACCATCTTACTCTCATACGCTCCTTTTTAAAAGCTGTGTATCACATTAATGGACGTGTTTACTGCTGGGAACAGTTCCCATGTACAATGATCTGTAACCCTCTTAACTCAACTAGTTGTGTGTTATTAGTTCACATCCAGTTCAATTTATAAATTAACAGAGGTGCCGTTTGTCTGTGCAAAAATCAATGCATATTTATGAACTTCTTTTATTCAAATAGATTTTCACACATCTCATCTAAAGACATAATACAGAAGCCTGTGTGACTGGGGCGACGTGGCCCTGGAGTGACTGAGACCCAAGACACCCTCCTTGGCAATAGGACACAAAATATCTCTCCGGTTTGGGAAAAAAGAAATAGCCTTTTACGCATTGTCTTAAGTTTATGAAATGTGCTCAAAATGTCATCAGCCGAATTCGTGATTTTCTTTTGAATTTCCAAGTCACTCTTATTTATTTTTTCCATTTGGTTTTTGCACCAAGGAGACTGCAGTCAAATAATACTCAGCACCTCATCTCCTCTCTTTGGACTGAAAAATTAAACAGATACTAAATTATGACAGTGAATTTAGAAAGGAGGGCTCCAAGGGCTCGAAAGAACATGTCTGGGATAATATGATGCTTCTAAGAGTATTGCAATCACATCGTGGCAATCACCAGAGCGTGCTGCGTAACTACCTCTCCGGCTAATACGCTTTCTTCCCGGTGATGACTAATCATGTTCTATTAAACAGCGGTGATGCTGGAGGAACTCAACTATATGAGTGTAATGAAGCCAGTATTCTCCCTGGACAGATTAGCTACAACTGATTTGACACATACCATCATAGGGGCTTCAAACCTGACAAACTCTGCTTGCTTCTGATTTATGCCGTCAGGCTCCTCGGAGAAGAGATGAGATCCAAGCGTTCCGTTTGGTAGAGGTGAAATGTACTGATGTGCTTAACTGCCAGCTAAGGGGAGCTGCCCCTTCTCCTGGCTGCTCGCCTCCCCTCCCCCCGGTCCCCGTCCCTTGTGCGGCGCTCCGTCTCCTGGCCACCACCGATGGCCCGGGGTCCGGAGCCGTGTGCTCCCGTCCACGGACCCAGGCCCCCGGCCGCTCCTCTCTGTCGCTCAGGGGAGTCTACGGAAAGGAACCGACGCCGCGGCCTCGGGCCTCCTCTTCGCCCCTGGAGGCCTGTCCGGGTTCGTGATTTCGCTGGGGGTGAGGGGGTGGGGGGCGGGCGGCGGGGGACTCACGTGGGGCGGCTCCCGCGCGCGCGCGCGGCGGTCCTCAGATGACGGTGGGTGCCCTCCCGCCGCTGTTGTTCCGGTGGTTGTTCTTCCGGGACAGGTTGGGGGTGGCCATGAGCACGAAGCGCTCGTCGGGGCAGCCGTACTGCAGCAGGACGTCCACGCACTCCTGGCTGGAGGCCTGGCGCGCGTAGGCCAGCGCCGTGTTCCCGTGCGCGTCGCGGGCCATCACGTCCACCCCGTACTGCGGAGGCAACGGGGCGCGTCAGCATCGCGGGGCGGGAGGGGGCGGGCAGCTGGGGAGCAGCGAGGCCAGCGTCCAGCGCCGGCGGCAGCCTGGCCCTGAGGTGTGTTCTTTCAAGAATGTGATTTTTCAGGGGGGAGGGGATAGCTCAGTGGTAGAGCGCATGCTTAGCACGCACTAGGTCTTGGCTTCAATTAAAAATAAATAAACGAACCTAATCACCCCCCCGCCCCCCAAAAAGAATGTGCTTTTTTAAAACAAATTTTTTATTTTTAAAAATTCCTTTTGCGGGGGGGGGGAATTAGGTTCATTTAACTTATTTATTTAATGGAGATTCTGGGGATTGAGGCCGGGACCTCCTGCACGCTAGGCATGCACTCTACCCCTAGAGC